GGGGGATATGTGTAAAATAATTTAAAAAAAAAAAAAAATAGAAAGGAAAAAAATAGTCTCATGTTTTCACAGATGTATCAGGTGTGAAATAGTCACCTGCTCCAGTAGATAAAAACAACCTTCAGTATAAAAAAGGTGTCCTGAATTTTCCTAAAATGGGAAAGGGAAAAAATAGTCTCATTTTTCACAGACGTATCAGGTGTGAAATAGTCACCTGCTCCAGTAGATAAAAACAACCTTCAGTATAAAAAAGGTGTCCTGAATTTTCCTAAAATGCGAGCAGATCCATGTTAATCATAATCCCTTTCCTTTCCTTCTTTCAGCAGCAGCAGCATGGGCCACGACTCACCATGCACATCAAACGTGGTGACCAAGGACAGGACACCCAAATCTTTTCAGAGCAAACACCCATAACTTTCAGTGCCTTGTGTTGCCCCTTCCCAAATGCAGCTAACTGATACAATTTCCAGCAGCTGGCACCAACAAGGCAAAAGCACTGGACCACTGGTCCCCTTGCCCATTTTGTGCCCAGTGCCTCCTGCACTGGAACATAGATGTTAAAACAAACAGAACATCCTCAGACTTTATCCCCACCCTTGCCCCTGCCCCAGCAAGCTGCAGGGGGAGTTAGGAGAGAACATCTCCATCCCAAAGGTGATAAATTCAAAACCTTCCCCCTGCAGGCAGGAAACACTGCGTGGGCTCCATCTTCCTGTTCGCAGATGTATTGTATCACTGGAACATGTTCAACTGATAATCTTGATGGACTTGATACTTCTCTTTGAAATCAGGATGGTTTGTTGCAGCTGGGGCTGGTATTTGTTTGCTTACTGAAGGCCCGTGGTGGCCTCAGTCTTGTCTAATACGTGTCAGGGCGGGGCCTCATCCAGACCCTTGCCCTGCTGTCTCCTGCAGCAGCTGTGAAGCAAAACCTGCTGCCTTTGGGGACCTGAGGGGCTTCTGAGTGCCTTCACAAGGCATCAAGATCTCTCTTTGCAAAGACAGGAGGCTGCAGCCCCAAAGAGGCACAGATGGCCCAACACCACAGGCAGTAGGAGTAGCACCTGGAGCACCACTCAGCTCATCCATTCTCCCAGGTGTCACTGCCTTTGGAGTTAGAGCAGCTCAGGTGTTTTGACTCCAAAAATCACAGGGGACATTTTTATTGGTTGAATATGTGATGGAGGCCAGCCCCCATCTGGGCACCACTCACCTGTGCAAATAGGTGAGTACCTGCTGCAAAGAAAAGGAAAATCCAAGCCTGACAAGAAAAAGAAGGACAGGAAGAGTAAAAATGCCATGGCTGATGTGCGGCAGGTCAGGATGAAAAGTCATTACTCCAGCCACAAATGAAAATATCTACTTGTAACAATGTTTGTTGTGCACAAGAACATGGGCAACAGGACATCAGGAAGAAATGTGTTAACATAGGGAACCTACATTTCAACCAGCAGATATGAAACTTCTGGGATTGGAAGATACACATATGTTGAACACATTTTACAACAATGTATTTATAATATCAGCTTGTTACTGGAGCACCTGATATTTTTAATTGGATTTTTAAGACAGGATATTTTTTCAGTAAAGTAACTTTTTCTAATTTTACTTCTCAAAGCAAGGGCAAAAGCAAGGCACAGCAAAAGCAAATAATAATACATGGGGGAAAATACGCAAATGTGGAGCAGAAAGATATGAAACCATTAGAAGGAAGAAACAGCTAGAGACAGAAATAGCTGCCTAGCCAAGAGCAAGTGACAATTCCCTGAGAGAAGCTGACTCAGAAAAGAGGGCAGGCAGGACTGGAAAGCATGACTCACCCAGCTCAGGGAAAACCAAAGGGTAGGAAGGCGTGGAAAGAACTGACTGCAGGATGGCAAGAGGGGAAAAACCCTGTAATTTGTCATGGTTCTTTCACTACAGGTACTCCTTGTGCTACGCCTCTCACCTACTGCACTCCCACAGGCATGTCCCACCTGGAAGCTCTTCCGTGAGGTCCTTCAGAGTGAGCTGCCACCCCACAGCAGAGGAATAGTCCATGTCATATAAATACTCCTGGTCATTGCAAACAGCCTGCAGCAGAGATTTAGGGAGAAAAGGGACAGTCTTGTACCAAACTGAACCAGAAAACAACATGTGCCTACAGAGGGCCCAAACACAAGGGCAAAGGGTGAAAAGCAGCTGTCCGTTTTCAGAACTGACCAGGGAAGGAGAGAGTAAAAATTGGAGGGGACAAAATGTTTAATGGGTGGCTGACCCAGAGAACACTGACTGCCACAGCATGTCTTGCTCTCACACCACACACTGCTTAATTTTCTATGTTGCAGAAAGAAATAACTTGAGATATACTATTCTAGCCTGGTAAAGTTTACTCCTCTTGATCCTTTTGTGGCTTAGGACAAAAAAAATCAGATTTAAAAGAATATTTTGGGGGGAAAAAATCCTATGAAGCATAGTCTTCAATCTAAGAGTTATCAAATCTATGTCATCAACTGATTTCACTCACAAACTTCAAGTCAAAGAGCCTCAGTGGTATTTGTGACATTTGTTTTCAAAACACTAACTATACAGGAGTTAGAAAACAAACCACGACAAATATGTTGTGGCTTATGTTTTTCATTTGAGAGTCATCCCAGACTCTTTTTCAGTGCCTCAAAGCCCTCTTCTGGCCACATTCATTAAGGGATTAATCTATTAAGCCCAAGCTGACAGAGTTGGGATGTGGGGGCGGATGCGTTGCACTTTCACTTAGCTTTAGCAACGTGCTCACTCTGCAGCTGGGGCCCACAGAAAGTAGCTCACACACTCAATTCTCTAGCATTCCCCACAAAAATCCCTCTTTCCCCTTCCAAGCAGAGAAGCTCCTGTACAATTCACCATGACAGACTCACAGAGCAGACCAGCTTACATCACCCCAGAAGGCCATTGAATATGCCCACAAGAGGCTAGTAACACCAACAGTGAAGGAAGTAATTGGGACAGGATTTTAGAATCACTGCCCAGATACAAGCTAGGTTCCCTTACATGAGAGTTCAGATCGGGGTGACAAGCACTGTGATGAATTAACAATTCAGGAAGACTCAAAGATCCAGATTCAAGGACATAAAACATTTCCCTGGTTTCAAATACATTGATCTTGCACTGTAAATAGAAGAGCTAATGTTAGAAGTTACCTTAAATACTGCTAACTGGGGATGCAGGGCTAAACCATGGGATGAACACAAGAAGCCCCATTCCAACCAGATAAGAAACCATGTAGTTTTGGCTTTTTGCCAGCCCTGGTGAGCCTCCTGTCTCTGTCTCTGATGAATGAGGCTCAAGCCCCTGCCCTTGCCAAGCAACCTATGCTGTCTCAGGCCAGTTACATGCCTCCTCTGAGTCACCACAGCCTCTGAGGAGCACAGATGGCACATGATGAAAACCTGCCTGTGCACTCCTCCTTAGCTTGATTACAAATGCTTTGGGTTTCTTTTAAAAAGTTCCTCAGCTATGATATCTGTCACATCTACTGTCATGTGAAAACACAATACACATGGCTTCAAACCAACTCCAGGCAGAGTTTGGAACTGTACCTAACACGATTGCTGTGTCATCGCTGTCAGGAGGGCATAGAGGAAGAGGTGGGTGAGCAGCCTGGGTGGGAAGAACTGTTCCTTTTTTAAAACATGTGGAGCAATACTCCACATGTGCATACTCAGAGGAGTGGGTCTGTCCTACACAATTGGTATTGCCTTTGGAAATCAATCTCCACGTGACCAAATCCCTGACCTTCTTCCTCTCACTTGTGTCACAGAGTAAGACCTTTGTGTGTTGTTTTACCTTAAGTACATCCTACTTTTTTGCTTCCCCTCTCTGTCCTACTCGTCACTCTCACTTCCCCTCTGAAGAGGCCTGGGGCCTGACCTAACACCACACTGAAAAGCAGCTCATACTTTTCAGCGTCTCTCGGCCATTTCTGGCTGAGTGAAGGCTGTTGTAGGTTGGACACAATGGCAGCACACTTCAGTACAGTTTCCAGAGCTGAATGCTGGGAAGAAGCTGCTTTGCCTTTGCCCTGTCCCCTCGGGGCCATTGGGACTGGGCAGAGCAGGCTGGGCCATGGCCCCGGCTGTGCTCAGGAGCAATGTGAGAGCAGCACCCAGATCACATCCCTGGCCCTTGCCCTACCCTGCCCCCTTCAGCAGTCAGCACAGAAAGAGAGGGGAACAGAAAACCAGAACAAATACTTGGCAATACTGCCTCAGCACTCTCTCCTAGCTGTCAGGACTTTGTCATTCAGGGATTTTTAGCCTGGCCAAACAGGATATTTTTGGCTATCTACGTCAGGAATCAGCACAAAGGGCATTGCGCTCTGCTTCCTACTTTCCCAGCTGCGAACCCTGGCTGCAAGCTAACTCCAAGGCAAGCCAGTGGACATTCCCCAAATCCTGCACCCTTAGGCCATCCCAGAGACTCCCCAGTCTGTGCCAGGCAGCCACTCTCTCCCTCTCCCATGACCCTGCACACACAGCCCTTGGGCTCACGGGGCAGTGGACACAGAGCCTCCACGGTAGGATGCCCTACAGCCCTTGAACACTCTGACTGACTGACAGGACGCACCTCTCCTCAATTTTTCTTCCATTACTTAAGTAAAAACTCTTCATAAGATAGAGAAGCAATGACTATGCTTCATCTGTCTTCACCCCTTTTTTTAAAGGAAGTGGTTTAAGGATGCCCTGTGGGTCAGCTGGGCTGCAAAAACCCTCGAAGAAAGAAGCCTAGATTATGTACAAGCTTTTATTATGTGTCAGGCCTGACACACCAACAGAGAGAAACATCAGGGTACTTTAGTGCCAGGTCTCATGTTAGGCACAGATCACCCCTCTCCAAACACAAATCACATTAAAAAAATTACTCAGAGTGAATTTAATCTATAAACCATAGCGGGAAACTCCTACACAACACACAGCACAAAATATAATAGGTAAAACTAAGGGAATTACTACGCAGCTATAAAAATATAAAGGACATGGTTACAGCAAACGATAAACTGAGACGAAATCAGATTAAATGGTTCAAGTAAACTTGCCCTCTTTATTAGGAACTTTGCTTTTCTCCGAGTTTTTTGGCTATTTAAATTGTTTTTCTGATGACATCAGGAAACAAGACAGTAGAGCCTTCTGTATATTGTAAACATTACAATAACATACATATATTAGAAAAAAAACAAGTTCTTTGAAAACAAGTTCTTTCTCTAACATACAGAGTTCTTCATTGCTCCCAACAGAGAGTAAGAGCCTTCCTAACAGTCTAAATATACATTAAATTATCTGGACTTAAGGAGTAAGTGCTTTATAAATGAAAAACACATTTGTGACTGAAGTTTTTTGCTGTTACTTAAACTGTCATGAATGGAAGAATGTTCTAACCCACACTTCTGCAACAAAACCAAAGCAAAACCCCAGTATCCTCCACCCCTCTAGAGGGCAACTTCAAACCTTGGTCTTTGTCATGAAATTGTCACCTGCAGTACATAAAAAGTTGTACAGACACTTGTGGTAAGCAAAGTTTCCATGTTTAATTGCTTACCTATAACAAGTAAAGCAATGAAAAATGGTAATTTAAATCTCACGAAGCAGTGCTTACATTTGCAGATGAAATTAGAAGCAACTGAAAACTTGAAAAAAGGGAAGCTTTTGCTTTTTATCCTCCCTTCTCATCAACAATTCAACTAACATTTTTACTAAATTTCTAGAAGAAAGAAATCAGCCTAAGAAGATACACATGAGAAACAAGACTCTCAAAATGTTACAGTGCAACATTAATATATATAAAATTGAGTTTACTTACTTTATAAATAAATTACTCTGAAATCTAATAAAACAATAAAAGTAGTTTCTTTCACTGGAATTTGAGAGAGCTGGATTTTGAATGAAGAAATTTAAAAATAAAAAATATTTAATGAAAGATTAATAATCAAAATGATCAGTACAATAATGAAAATATAAAAAATAATAAGTCTTCCTTTCAAAGGAAGAAAATGCACAGAAAGGGAAGACAGGGCTTTGAAAACCTTGCGAATTAATTTTTTATGTGTTGAGGAAGATACTTAACAGATGCTGAAAATTTCCTTTCCAGTCCTGTTTCACATTTCCTATTAAAATCCATTTAGAAGTTTAAAGAAACTGATTTAAAAATATTTTATTGCTTCTGTGTTTGCATATCGCATACATGAGATAGATGGTAACAAGATGAGAAGAGAAATGAAAAACCATTCATAGATCACCTGAATGACATCTAAAAGCACAGTGTCCCCAAACATGGGTAAATCCTCAGATTCTTCATTTCTCTTCCTTGTCTATTTCAGAGCCCAAAAAAATAAAATCTTGACCCTCATTCTAAACCAACTGGCAATTTCCCTGAAGTTCATTACCAATAAGTTAGTTCATCTGTTATTAAAAAATTAATCTAATTAATCTAAAGGCTGAGGTTCTACCAGAAGGCAATTAGACACCTTTTCTAATAGCAGTTCTGTTCTCTTTCCCTCAACTGTCAAAGTACTCAAAAGAATATTTTCTTCTCTCTCTGTGCTTGGTAGCTAACAGTGATATAAAGCTGCTGTTGAGGAGCAGTAGCAAGCACTACAACACCCAGAGAAGACGCATGCAGCCACAACATTTTCACACACAATATGGCTTTATGAGTTAAACCTAATGGTCAGTCCACAAATTCAGTAGTTTCCTTCAAAGAAGTCAGAAGTCCTATTTCCATGAGCATTATTAGGATAGAGTTGTTATTCAGGATGAAAGACTTTACCTATTATAAAAATCACAACTGGAAAAGATAAAAGTTCATTTTTCTTTGTGGTAGTTTACTTTCCCAGAACTGAACTGGTGTGGCCTCTTTTTAGCAGAGGATAAATTGCCATTACCATATTAAAGTAAGCAATAGTTACCTAACACTAATGTATGGGCAGATGCTGTGTGAGGCAGTTGTCACTAGGAACCAGCAAATTGGACCTCTTAACTGTGATTTGAAAAGCTAAGAATAGGTGCTATTTCAGTGTACACAATTCCTCCAGACATGTTTAAACATTTTTAAATTGTAAAGTTTACAGATGGATAGTACTGATGCCTTTTACATGCTAAAATTATTTATATTTGTTTTTAAACCACTTCTCAGTTGCCCTTTAAAATGAACACAATAAGGAGCACTGTTGCTGTAGCTGGCAGCATTGGCTCTCCCAGGGCTCTGGCAATAAGAGCGCAAACTTCCTTAGGAGAGCAGCAACCCTAACAAGGAGTGAAACTTTTCTAACATAAAGACATTTTGATAATTTCACTCTGTGCAACCTGCCAATTTGCCTTATTCATCTTCTCAGTTTGCTCACAAAGACTCAGCTTGGTTTTGACACAAGCCAGTGAAGACTGGCTTTGGCCTAGACCAAAGATAAGACAGCACGGAACACTTCTCTGCTGTTTAATTTGGGAGTTGACTTTATTACAAACTGTTTTCTAAGTGCTTCTAGTTAAAACTGTAGACAGGCTCAATCAAGTAAGCAGCAGTAAAAGCCAGGCCAGGAGGCAGGGAGCCACCAGCTGTCAGCCCAGCAAACCTGGGTCTGCGCCAAGCAGATAGATCAAGGCAGCCCTGGGCACGCTTGGCTGTTCGGTGCAGGGTGTTCCACCTGTTATACTGGCAGCAGTGAGGTTCATGAAGAAATGACACAAGTGCCAGACCCTGAAGAGGAGTCATTGTGTGGCCTTGACCACCAGTGCCAAAGCACACCAGGGGTCCTCAGGTCACTTGGCCTCCCCGTCTTGATTCGGCGTGAGGGACACATCAGAGCCACTATGGGGAGCCTGCCTGCGCAGGACCGCAAGGGAACAGCTGCAGCTGGCAGGCAATGGAAACACTTTCATTGGCAAATGAAACACTTTCACTGGTAAATGAAACATTTTCACTGGTAAATGAAACATTTTCACTGGTAAATGAAACATTTTCACTGGCAAATGCTTTCAGCTTCAAGTAGGCGAGCCTGCAACTTGAACTTGCAGAAACCGCCTGAGACAGTCTTTTCACTGAGGTCATAAACACACATATCCTCACTAATGACAAATCAAGAAGTAGACTGCATCAAAGCTCAAAAGAAATTCAGTAGTACAAGAAACCAAACTAAATACCAGCTATTTGCACTATTTAGCAGCCGTCTGTAAACAACAAAGGTACCTAACTAGGGTGCTCAGTTAAATTTCAGCAAATTCTTCATGACTTAATTCTACAGATATTGTGATTGTGCTTCTTTATCGGTGACTTTGGTACACTGTCCTCATGTTTCTAATTAGGACTTTGAAACAAGAACAGACACTATGCTTCTCTGACACACAACTGGAGGAGACATCCCATAAGCTCTGGAATGCTAAGAGAAAGACCATTCCCAAAATCCTTCCCAGGTTTCACACACTGAGCAACAAGACCCTGGCAACAGAATCAGTGTCACACAGATTAAATTAGGCATACAGTGCAGATAACTAGTAAAGCTAATAACCCAAATAGTCTCTTATTGAATCCTGCCAATTTAATTTAAGGTGCTCTGTAATAATCTCAGGTATGAATTATAAGCTTGAAAGAATCAACCTTGCAGGAAGATATAGCCTGAAGAGTCAACGCCTCTTTACCACCCTTTCACAGCTGCCCAGACTTTAAGGCCACCCTACTTATCCTGCGTGCAAGTACAGTACCCAGAGTTCTTCCATATCATCCAGCCTCATTCCACAGCTCAAAAGAGCAACTGTACTTGGGCTATAGCAAAAGGTGACGTAGGGACACCCATTTGTGCTAAGTTTGCAGAGGACACACATAAGATAAAAATGCATCTATTTGATTCTTAACAATTATTTCATTAGGGTGCAGGTTATGCGGCAAGTAATGAGCCACAGACATCTCCCAAGCATCCACAAAGTGCACAGCAATTCCTGAGAACATTTTCCTCATGACAGAATCAAGCTGAAAGGAATACCAGTCACTGTTGAAGAGGCTCACTTCTGGCCCAAGCTCCTGAACATTGGCGGTTCTGATGACGATTGAAGTCTTGGGGCTGCGGTCCAGCAGCTGGAGAATGGCTCTGCGGATGTTCCTGAGGCGCCGGATGTACACTTCCACGGGGAAGGTGCTGAAGTGGGACCAGATGGTTATGGCTACGACGGTGTTCCTGCCGCCCACGATGCTGTTGAGCTCGTTGGCGATGTAGCGCAGCTCGCTGCTGAACACCGTGGAGAAGCGGATGGGCGGCCCGTGGCAGCGGAACTTCAGCAGGATGTTGTGCTTCAGGTCCACCGACATGAAAGGGCCCACGTTCTTAGGGCTGCCCAGGTTAAATTCCACCAGGTCTGAAAGCCCAGGAGCAAGCGTTAGCGAAAGATGGCACAAGAACTTCAAGCTGTCAACAAGATGCTTGGGCCACAGGGCAAAGCAGGAGTAGATAAGGAAATCTGAACATATTTCAAAGAACTCTAAAACTAAACACAAGGTGAGCATCTTTTTTCAGAGTGGAGTTTATAGGTGTTGAAATCTCAGGACAGTACATTTGGATTTCATAACGCTGTCGGTGCCTTTTCCAAGTTTCCCAAACTATTTCCTTCTCTCTTGTAAAAAATAGGTTTTCCAGATAGTCATTGTTTACTCTCTGAATCCAGGGTTCCCAAGAACCCTTCTAGCAATTTTAGGACTCCAATAAATTTAAAGATTACTTCAAATTGTAGGAATTAAGGCAGCACAAAGACTGTATTCCAACACAACTGAAGTGGTTCAGGGGAAAAGGATGAGGGAGGCAGGAATATTTGTCAACTGAAATTCTTCTACTTAAGTAACTTGAATAATGAAAAGGGCCCCAAAACCTATATATATAGCAATTGAGGTAATTTGCTTCTTCATTCCAAAATCTCTCCTGTGACTGGGATGCTGCAAGGTCTTACAGAGGCAACCCAAGTGATTTCCTGCCATGCCTCCCGGGGTGGCCACCTTAACTCATGACCACAGCAGCAGTCCTGTTACAAGGACAACTTTGAAGATCCCTGGTCGCCCCATTTACAAGGCCTACATGTTTTCAATGTCTGCTCAAACATTTGACCGTTTGCCAGGGCTTCTGATGAGGCTTTACCTTTCCTCTTCCTTTATTTTGTCACTGGCACTTAGTAAACCAGCTCTGTGTCTGAGATGTGAGAAATAAGGCTTTGTAAGGGTCCTTAAGGACAAAGCTAAATTAAAAAATTACCTGGAACAAATGCTGTCAAATATTCAAACCACTGCCTTATTGTAGAGTCTCCAAACAAGTGGATGACTTTTCCTTGTAAGCACTCAGTTATATCATCTGATTTGTTAAAATTATGGATCCAATGTGTTCTGGACCTCCACTGGTCTTCATAATAATAACCAGAAGGGGAAGCTGTGGGATCTTCAGGTCTGCCCATACTGCTTGAATCTGTAAGAGAAAAATCTTTTGAAATTAACATGCAACCAAAGCAGCCTCCATAATCTTCACCGGCATGTAGTCAGCAACTGCTGACAAGAGCTGGGTGGCCGATTATAGTTCAACTTGGTTTAAATTAAACGGTATCTCTGCCGCTAATACAAAAACGTATCTGGCACCTTTCTCCCTGCGCTAGAAGCGCCCAGTGGCGGGTGTTTGCCCGGCAGACCGGAGCGGAGGCAGGGAGACCAGCGGAGCGTCTTCCCTCTCCCGGGGCGGAGCCCAGCGCGGCCGCCCTGCCGCGGCGCACTGCTGCCCTCCAGCGGCCGGCCTGCGCACGGCAGCGCTGCTCGGCGGGGACACCGACCCCGCGGGGACAACCTGGCAACGCTCAGAGAAACATCCAAAAAACTCGAAATAAACCCACCAAAACCCCCACACAGACCGAAACAAACCCCCAGAAAACTACTCATACGGAATAACACATACCTCGGCACTCTAGAAGAGTTAAGTCTGAACCATAATGCCTCCAAACCCAGAAAATGCCAGAATTGAAGCTATGACCAAAAAATGGTGTATATGCCATTTGAATATGATAATTATGAGAGTCTCCAATTCCATGGATTTCGGACTTTCTGTCTGCTATCTAGCCCACTCCCCATTTACTGCCTGGGACAGGCAGCCCCATGAGGAGCAGCTACACATCAAGGAACCTCTGCTCCACAGGATGCCTTTTTAACTCGAAGTAGTTGAGCAATACCTTGCAAGCAAAGGTATCAGGATTACAGGAGAGTACTGGAAGATAAACTGCAATCTCATGGTTATATCAGCCAAATATTGTCATATTTCTCTTAGTAACCAGGGTGATATTGTACATCAAAGTTCTGTAAGGCTGTTTCAGGTTTCTCCTTTGCCATTTGTGTATTCAAATACCTCAGCGGAACAAGCATGGAGATCTTCCCCAGCACAAACACCAGCTCCATGGAGCAGACACTTCCAGCTGTCTAAACACTTCTACTCATCTCGGTGTGGAGACTGCTAAGAACAGTCCACGCCCTGTCCCAACTTACAGCTGATTAATAAAGCACACCTTGCCGTGGGCAAAATCATGCCAAGGACTGTTCAAATGATGTAAAAGTACAAGCTCCAGAATTTCAGAGCCCAAAAGTGTCCTCTGGTAGATGCTTTATTATAACACAGACAGAGCCAACCATAACCATCTTTCCTAATAAGCATTTTTAATTGCTCTTTTTCTATTCAATATCCTCTGCATGTTATATTAGTACATGTTAACCTTAGAGGTTAGAGGATGCTAACCTCCTTAGACCTCACAGGGACAATAAAAAGCAAACTACTGTTATGTTTGTATAACACAAAAAATATCATCACAATTACCACAGAACAAAGCTATCAGAAAATTCTATCTCTGGATGATTATTTAAATCTGACAGCAGGAACAAGAAAGAAAAAGAGAACCCAGCTAATACTGTGGATTCATCCAATACCTATAAACAGGAGAAAGGAAAAAAAATGCTTTCACATGGTCATGCATTTAAAGACTAATTCAGAATGTGAATTCACAATTTGAGTTTTTTTCATTCTAAGTTTTGATGCAAAAGCAATTCAATTTTTTACCTTTTAGATTGATTCTTATATATATAACAGTGGTACTAGAACAACTTTTTGGTGCCCCACAGTAAGTTTTTTGCCTTTTAGATGGATTGTTATATATATATATATATAACAGTGGTACTAGAACAACTTTTTGGTGCCCCACAGTAAATCAGCATTTCAAATCTGTGTATAGTATCATACCAGATTTGGCCCAGAATTCAGAATTGACCCTTACTTTGAGATTTTGTAAAAGAGAATGAAAGCTCTAATCTGAAGTTAAAATACAAGGACAAAAATAAAAACTTGTATTTCAGAAAAAGAAAGGTTTTAAAAAACTTGATCTACATTTACCACCACACAGAAAAACATCTACAAAAAGAACAACAGCAGAACAATGAGTATGTGTGTGTTATCAGTTCTAACAAATCCACACATCCACTAGCATTACACCAATGAGTTCAGTTTATTTATTCAGAGACTGCTGTACTTGGAAGGAATTTCCCTGAGGAAATGTGCTATGCCTATCAACACTTTTTAACCCAGCATTAATTGTCAGGACATTGTAGGCAGGCTTTGATCATTCTTAGCTCCTGGAAGAGAGGTGACAATCAAATTTTGAATTTTCAGCAGTTTCTGTCATAACATACATACAGGATAAAAAAAAATACATACAGGAAACATACAGGATAAAAAAAAGCAACAAAAACACATCAGGTAAAGGATCTGGACAAAGAAAAGAGGTGGAGGGTAAAATGCTGCAAGCCCTCCACTGTTTTTTTAGTGAACAATGAAACTAAAAGCAAGAAATGCTGTAAGTTGCCTTCTGCTCAGACTTTATTGCTCAGGTCAGTAACTTTACCTTAAAAGTCTCTTATAACCTTACGAAAAAAAAAATGAAAAGTTTTCATTTAACAAATAATTATCTGTGTTTCAAATTTTATGCAGACTTTTTAGGAGCATAAAAAGCTTGCTTTTGGATATGAATGAGATAAAGCCTCTAAGTTCATTTTAGTACAGACTGTCTTTGTTCTGTTCTTAGAAAGGACACAGAACAATTAGGTTCTGGTACAGAACTGTAGATTCGACATCCTGTGGTGACACAAATTATAGCAATACTTAAATGCAAGTTATCAAAGTCTGTTAGACAACATTCTTAACAAAGAAAGAAATTAAGAAACACCACACAGCTGTTTTCATTAAATTGAGAGTTTGGTAAGCAGTTACTCAAATATATTTTACACTGTGAGTAAATGCTAGTGAGAATAAAAGACATTTTTAGCAATAGAACAAACTTCTCTCCTCTTTTGATTTCTTTTTTTGCTAATAGTCCCATTTATGTATGTAATTTCAGAAAAAAAATTCACTATTTCTGATCTTGTATTAAAGTTAACACCCAAAAGCCTTCATCATCTCAATAGAAATCTGATACTGATTTTGTGGCCATGCTAAAAAAAATCCCGAATTGTTATTTGATGCCTGTTGTTCTTTTTATAAATTTAATTATTCATTACAAACAAGATGCAGTTCACCTTACCTGTAAATGCCTTGGCCACAATGACTGAATCAGGTCCACTGGAGAGTATCGGCCTTTTGATATTCACGTCACTTCAACAAAAAATGAACACAGCAATATTTGTAAAAGTTACTGTGAAACTTGAAGGTTAATATTATCTCATTTTTTTTCTTGCTCCACTTCAAATAAACATACAGTACTACAAATTTTTACTCTAAGTTTACTCTACTTCCTACAGATGAATTCATTTAACATTTACTTTGAGACCACCATTGCTATTCTTGATCCAAATTCAAAATTTCATGGCACTGACACAAATCTTATGCAAGCTTGTACTGACACAAATCTCAATAAAGCAATCAAGCTGTCAGAGGTCTGCAGGAAGCTTTTGGGGATTTGCCCCAAAGATGTTCCCAGCTTGCAGAACTTCTGGGGACAAACCACTGCAGGGGTACAGGGCCACAGCAGCAGCTCCCAGCTGAATAATACTAAGATCTTGTTCTGCCTTTTCCTACTGTTTTGAAGAGAATATTTTTCTTTTTTTTTCTCCATTTAAGAAATAAATTATTTGGAATTTCTTTAAGCCACTTTGGTCAAGGATCTCAGAGCTGAATGAAACAAACAAACAAACAAATAAACAATCAAAACTAAACCAAGAAAAACACTTTTCCCATTCCCATAGGGAAACATCACTAATAAATATAAGCTATATTTGACAGGTAGGCTGGCAGAGACACAGAAAGTCAAAAGACCCACTTACAAACTTGATATGGAAGAGCTGATGCTTACTTTTTATTTCTGGTCTTGGTTATGAACAAGCATACACACTTTCCTAAATTACACTATTTGGAACTGCTACCCTAAAATCTTTCCCTATTTAGGCCTCAAGTGAACATAGTGCCAAAAGACTTTCCTACAACATCTTTGTTGGAGAGCAAGGCATTAGCCTACAACTACAACTGTGACACTACACAGTAACTAACTTTATCTAAATTCAGCTGTGTAATTTCATACAGAAGCAGTTCTGTCACACATCTGCAGGCAATAAGAGATGGCTTGGGTTTTTTTTTTTTAATGCTGAATGCAGAAAAAAAATATGACCGTGAAACTAATTTAGTTTGACACTTGAAATAACATGCACAGATCATTTCCACTTGCATGGGTATTGCTCAGCAATTTGTTCTACCAGGTGTATTCTTTATGAAAATTGTTTCTAAGATTTGAAAGTCATATTGAGCAACAAGGAACACATTTAAGAAAATTTTTGATGAGGACAAAAACAATTGGTAATTTCTGTAAAAATGAGCCTAAAACCCAGATCTTTTTCAGGTAGTTTAGATTTTGCCAAAAATACTTCTCAAAGCATTGTTATTAATATTGCAAGTGTAGTTACGGAAACAGAAAATAAGGGAACAGTCCCCCAAACCACCACCAGATTTAGACAGCATGCTCCTGTGAAATTCAGTAGGGTTGAATTAAAAGCACAGAAAGAGGACTACATGCCAAGTTTCTTTAAGATTGCTGTCTAAGATTCTTGCACAGCTGAATGGAGGGGAACAGACTATTCAACAACTAACACCAAACACCTGGTCTGGTCCTGCAGATACACTCCTCCTCTAAGACAATGTGTCATATTTAAGCAATAGGCTAACATTTGTATAAAATAAACCCAAACAAAACAACTTGACTGAACAAATATAAATTCAACAACATACAAACCTTTGGAAAAAGAGGCTTTCCTCTTGTGTCAGAAGACCTTTCAGATATCCACCTTTGGCATGGTTGATTCGGCTGGCACAGGACAGTTTTCTAGGCTTGTAACAGAACCACGGCTCACCCGTGTAGAGATCTGTGAAGTTACAGACTGGGAGACCTCCAGGCAAGCAAACATTGCACTCTGTAGTCTCTGAATACCTCCCAGACTTGAATGAGCTTTTGAAATAGACTCTGTCTGGTCTTTCCTCTCGTAAACGCAGGAGGACTTGGATTGCTTCACTTGGATGGACAAGTGACACAGAAACTTTGACCTCTCCTGGCCAAAGCAAGGTAAAGAAGACTTTGTAAAGGCCGTTTTGGCAATCTACAATCCTTCCTGCTGCTCCAGCTTTCAGCCCAGGAGAGTGAATTCGTGCTAGTAAATAGTCTCCACCATACTGCTTGGGTTTTCCTTGGAAATCCTTCATACGAACAAGTACCTCTAACTGATCACCCACCTTGAAGAACCTGCTGGGTTTCACAATCACAAAGTCACTGTGTGTGGGATCAGTGCTTTGTGCAAAGTCGATTTTACCATCAGGGGGCTTTGGCCACTGTATTGCAGCAAGCAACGATTCCTGCTCCGCTTGTTCCCTTTTGGACAAGGTCTGCTGCATGTACCCACAGTAAGGCTTCCTGGTGGTTTTGTCTGTCTGTGACAGAGAATGCCGGACATTGTTTTCTGTTATCCAATTCGATCCTGAAACTGTGTCATCATCCAGGTGCTGGGGAGAAAAAGATTGCCTGAAGCTGTGCAATGAAATGAAACACTGGGAATAATGGATACTTTGTCAGGAAATGATCCCAAGAACAGGCTTTGCTTCACAGAGCTTTGAAGCTGACCAAATGAAGCAACTTCACTAGAAGACCCAAATCTAGTACTTTGACCGTGAAATTTCTAAGGAAGCAGGTGGGCAGCCTGTAGTTATTGTGCTTTGGCAAACAAGCATTTAAAGAGATCACATCCAACGTATGGCAGTGTTTCAGCTACCAGTACACTCTCCAAATACCAGCAATGGAAAAAAAAAGGCAAAAGGTTGCAAGATTAAGTTATAACTCATGTTTCCTTTTCTTCTGCAGTAACATTTTAGTCTTGGAGCACCATGAGTTCTAATAGCTGCCCCATGTAATGCAAGGAAATGCACGCTTCCCAGTAATGTACACGTTAAAAGAAATAAAAGAACAAAAGCCCAGATCCTCCTGGGAGAATGAATTAATGAGCCAGTTGGCCAGCAAAATAGTGCAGGACAAGCTAGGACTAAACAGGCAAAAAACCTGCTTGTTTATTTGAAAGATTTTAAAATCTATATACAGCTTCTTCTAGCAGCAAATGAAGCAGCAAGCAAAGCATCCCCTAATCACACAAGAGTTTAAAAATTAAAATACTTAAATACAAAACTAGACTAAGAGAGGAGGCTTCTGCTGCAACTTGATAAAACTGTATCTTGTGAAAAAAAATCAGTGTCCAAAACTCTATTTGCATGTAAATGACTGCAGATACCATCTTCTTAATGACATCATGTAATTTTGCAGGTTTGCACTAGGAAAATTTTAAAAATAGCACAGTCTAAGACTCCAGAGGTACTCATGAGACTTCTAATCAACAAATTAAGAAAAACCCCTTCAAATACACACAAAATCAGCAGTTAATGAGCAATTAATTACCAGGTACATATAGTAGGACTTATCCATAGTTCTATTTCATAAAGTAGGAAAATAGTTTTTCAAGCAAATATTACAATTATACAGTGTACCATTCATACAGCATCAGATGATATGCTCATTTATATTTGAAAGATTGCTAAAAAATTCAAACTACATTATTTGAAATCTTTAAAAATACCATTGTACTTACCAATACCCCAGTGTTTTCCATTTACTTCCTCCTTAACTAACTGCTCAGTAATATACTAGAAGTCACGGCACTCATATTAAAGTCTCATTCATTGTCATAAACCTTTCTTAGGCCATGGAAATAGCAGCAGTGTCTTAAAATCATTTGAACCACACTGAGATTCAACAGACTTATTTAGAAGAAAGGTAAACCTAACAAGCAATAGAAACATATAAGCTATTGAAGTCTGCGACATAAAATGGTTTTAGTCAGCTTTAGAGTAAAAGGATGAGCACATGAGGATGTAGGATGGATACACAAAATCTTCTTTGTTTGATATCCAAGTTAACTGTAAAACCTGAAACTGTGAATTGCTACACTGTAGCTCTAAAGCATAAATTGACATACACCCTCTATACACCAGATGTTAACATCACAATAGAAGCTTTTGCTTCAGTTTCATATTCCCACACAGGATTTAATAAATTTTCCCTGAAGGCTATAATTCATAATAATTTTTGTTTTCCATCGCAGCAAGCCAAGCTGCAGATGTATGTTGCACATTACTTTTATTAGTCCAGGAAATTTCAGCCAAAGCTGAGAGTGAATCTCAGGCACAGTTCTACTTTAAATCTTGCCTACATACATTCTTGAATTAAGCCAAGTTTCTCTTTTTGGATATCTTCACAACTTCTTCCCTTCACTTGCTCATGCATATATATATATATAAACACAGAAAATACTGCATGGAAACGTTTTTAAAAGTTACCTATATATTTTGATGCATCCAATAAGCCAGCAACAATGTCTCAGCAAAAATATTTACGTATTTTCCTAAAGAGGAGTGGAAAGGGAGAATATGTGTTTTGATTAATTGTTGTTTTCAGTGTAAGTGCCCAAGAGAAAGTTTCTGATTTTCAGTTGGTTCTTCGGGTTGGTGGACATGGGAAAAACAAATCCTTTCAAATTAAGAAGAGATGGTAATCTAAAACAGCTTAAAAATTGATGTATCCCTAATTTTAATATTCTTTAAATTTCCTCAGGGTTTTTAACCCAGTCTTTCTGTCAGAGATGTAGAGATGCCATTTCTGCCCTAACTAGGCTTTCTGAAGTCTTTCCAGAGGCATACCTCTATCTTTCAGTGGGAAAGGGTGCAGAGAACACCAAGCCAACAAACTCATTCAGAAAACAAAATATGGTTTGAGATCTCCAAATCAGTCCACCTACTCAGATTTTTAGCAGAGCATAAGGCCAAAGCTCTTCTTGTATGCAGCTGAGAACAAGGACATGCACTGTCACTTCAACATCTCCAGGTTATGTCTCACTAAGCAGAATAGATCATACCACAAATATTTCCTAAGTCTATCTTCAAAGGGCCTGAGGGGGAAGCTCCATGAAAGTAAAAGCAGAGCTTCTTCAACATCCTGAAGGACCATTCTTTCTCCAGCATCCTTGTTCATCTTTACAGCCCTCTTTCAAGCCCAACCAGGATCCTGTATTGTTACAGAATTACAAGCTTGTGTGAAAATAAGCTAGACCATGTATGCTATTCACAGGAGAAAATATTGCACAGATTCTCTTTGCCAGTAAAGGCAGAAAAAGCTTCAGCATCAATTAATACACCAAAGATCCCTGACTGGAATATAAAGGCTTTCCAAACCAATCTTCCTTTTTTAAGTGTTTCCCAGGCTCAGCTCCAAACAAGTACTTAAGTTCTCCTGCCCCTACGGATACACAAGGCCTGCTCTGAGGTAAATAATTTGCTTAGTTTGTCCCCACTCCATTTCCTACTCCCTCCTGGCATTTCCAAATCTCTCTGGCTCCTCTCTGTTGCCATACTGAGAGTGTGCAGAATGGAGGGCTTTCTATTGTAGTTAGTAGCTAAACTAAACAAAATTCCTTTATGAAAAGCAGATAAAGAGCATTTCTCAAGAGTGCTCTTCCTTTATGACAGACATTCTTTTAGTGTTCATTACAGGCTCCATGTTGGATAACACCTGCTTTGCTTATTTCCATGTACACTCCATTCAAGGTGTCATGTATCTTAAGTGCAATTCCCAAGGGGGGTTGTTTGTTTGTTTGTTGGGTTTGAGGGGTTTTTGTTTGTGTGGGAGGAGTTAGTTTCATTTTTTTGGTTTTTTGGGGGTTTTCTGTCTTTTTTTTTTTTTTTTTTTTTAATTTACTGCATTTTGAAGCTAACCAGAACCCAAATGTGACCACAAAGTAATTTAATGGCTATCTGCCAAGTAACACAGGCAGGACAGAAGAGATTACGTGTCAGTTAAGCACAAATAAATCCACTAGCAATTCCTGCATTAGAGATGTCATAAAAAGGCAAAAAAGGAAGATGTATTTTTATGAGAACTAATGGAAGTTTCATTAGTTCAGCTCATCTCCTCAGCTTTTGGCATTCTCACCACCAACTAGGCAAAAAATAGATACAACATATAGATTAACCCAGGCAATAATGCTCTCAAAGATATTCTAGATGGTCACAGAGTACTTGGGAAGATCTGCAATGAACACCTGTTGGGGGTTTTTTTTTTTTTTTTTTTTTTTTTTTTTTTAATTTACTGCATTTTGAAGCTAACCAGAACCCAAATGTGACCACAAAGTAATTTAATGGCTATCTGCCAAGTAACACAGGCAGGACAGAAGAGATTACGTGTCAGTTAAGCACAAATAAATCCACTAGCAATTCCTGCATTAGAGATGTCATAAAAAGGCAAAAAAGGAAGATGTATTTTTATGAGAACTAATGGAAGTTTCATTAGTTCAGCTCATCTCCTCAGCTTTTGGCATTCTCACCACCAACTAGGCAAAAAATAGATACAACATATAGATTAACCCAGGCAATAATGCTCTCAAAGATATTCTAGATGGTCACAGAGTACTTGGGAAGATCTACAATGAACACCTGTGTGGCAGCAGCTCTCTGGCCACAGAGAGCAGGTACAGGTCTTCCCAGGCATTTTCCCTGGGGAAGGCTATGAGAAGCTGTGAGAAAGCTCAGAGAAAGAATTAAAACAATACTTATTTCCACTTGCTGCACCTGTTGCTAGGCAAATGCAGAATGTGTTATGGAGATTTGTTTACCAAAGGGTGGTGGTGTTTTGGTTGGTTGACCAATGAGGTCAAAGCTGTATCAGACAGGCTGGAAGGGGTTATGGGTTTCTTAAGAATATAGTATGAATATAGTATGGAAGAATAAAGCAATGGTTCAGCCTTCTACATCACAGAGTCAGTGCTAATTTCACTCGTGTCAGGGAGACAGACCCCCGTGTCAACACACGTGTCCTGAGTTAAACACCACAGTGTAGAGGGCTGATGAAAACATTGAGTATTTCCATTGCTGCTGAAAAAGGGGAACTCCACCTCAATGCCCAGTATCTTCCACCAGATGTTAACTCCTGCCTTGGGCTGAACAACTGCTGCAAACCTGCATAAGTCACTGTCACTAGAGCAGGAAACAACACAGGAGATTCCCAGGCAACAGGCACAGTGGGGAAATAAAAGTTCCAGGAGATAGCATCTGAATCTGAACAAATATCAATTCCTGAAAGGTCAGTCATCTTATATTCAGTAATTTTACACTCCAGGTACTTTATTTGTTGTCTATGACAGATATGAAATCAGTTCTCTACCATTACCATCTCACAGCACTGAGTGGCTGCTCTAAGTGTCAAAAGCCAGTCTTCAAAAGCCATCACCTGGCAGTCAAATGTTCCAGAAATAATTGGAATAAGATAAAGTTATCTTTTGTAGGCACTTGCAGTTTAGCAGCAAGGATTTAAAACTTTGTTACACAGTTCTTTTGTTCAGTTTCAGCTATCTGATTTCATACTCTCCTGGCAAGAAACTTCTCTTCTCCCCACAGACTCTCTTTCTAGGTGCTTTTAAATAAAATACCACTCACAGTCAATCCCAAAGTGGTTCTGTCACCCTAAAGGCCACTGGTACAAATCACAAATCCTCCTGCATCCTGAGAGCATGATGTTTGGGTAACATCCTGATACTTCACAAAATATTACTGTACATTTTATCTTTCTGGCTATATTCACATTAAAAAATTCTAATAAAATAAAACAACATTTCTTCTGGTACTGTGTGATCAACCATGTGACCTCAAGGGAATAGTTATTCCATAATAAAAAGCAAAGTAAATAAGCTGGCTACCAAACTTTTTGTGGACAGCTTGTTGGATTTTTTAAACACAAGATAAGAAAAGTAAAATTCTGACATGGGTATGACTACTGGGAGGGTGTCATCAGTAGTTTAAGAAATTAAGAGAAAACATTCCAACACTAAAAGGTATAAAATCCTAAAGCAAAAAAGAAGGGACACTAGCTGGCAATTGCCTTAGATCTTGAGCTTTAGCCAGCTAGGTTGGATGATTTAGGGATGAGAAGTATGTCTCATGCATTTACAAACACATTCTCAACAGTAACCAACAATGAGCTCTCCTTCCAGAGCCTGGATAGATCTGGTTACAGATATTCTGTGAAAGCTTTATAAGATATTTTTCAGGCTTTGATCTCTGACTGAAAAGAATCAGCATAAATACTTATATTAGACTCCCTGGAAAATTGAGCCAAGACAAATACAGGAGCAGGTCCATTCAGAAAAGTCATGACAACAGAAAGGGTTAGAGTTGTATGTTATAGTGTCAAGATTTACCAGCAACACAATACTTAACTGAGGTTAGAATAGCAGATATGTAAAGGGCAACAAAGCCCAAAGACACTTATCATGGACAGTGGTCAGAAAAAGCACAGAGCAAACACCCAACCTGAATTTTCCATTTCGCTCTCAAAGCACTGCTAGAGCCCTTTTCTCTAAGAAATGTAATTTTAAAATAGAAAGAAACAGTTTAAGATTCTGAATATCAACACTCCTCAGGCAACATCCTAGGTCAAAACCCACAACAAAATAAAACCACAGAAAGAGAAAACAAAAGCTACCTCCTACAAACAAAATGGATCATGCTAACTTGAACCAAAAGTCCATCAAACACAGTATTTTGATTGCCAATAGTTTTTAACAGCAGGTATATGGGAAAAGAAGACAGATCAAACATGCTGTGCCATTTCCTCCTGTACACTTAACACACTTTCTAGCACTTTATGGTTTAGATTTCTTAAACACTAGGGTAAACATCTTAAGATCTAATATCCCCTAATGGACTTTTCCTCTGTGCATTCATACAGATTTTTTGAATATACGCATTTAGTAACTACAAAGACTTACTGCAAAGATTTCTGCAGCTTTGCTGCAACCCCTAAAAAATATCCCTGCTTCCTTTAAAATCAGCATCTGCAGTTTTTATTTAATGTGTCCACTAGTACTGGAATATGTAACAAACACTCCTTCTTCAGTTATTGATCCTGAATCACTTGTGGTTTTAGACTTCCCAAACATCTTCTTTACCCTTAGGTGATCCTCTTCCAATTCAACTGTATTTTTGTGTGGGGTGAGGGGGCTTTACAGCCCCTCTTTTGGATCATTTCATTTGGGCATCACTAGCCAGGAGGAAGGAAGATTCTGCAAGTTTAAAAGCATAAAGCACTTGCTGACTGGCTGACATGCACAAGGGACAGCTATAATTTAACAAGGTGTTAGGCTAAGCATTACAATGCTCACCCACCAAGTGCAGCACTGGAAGGCCTGGCCAGGCAGGCAGCCAGTGGGCAGGGTCAGCCTCCAGGGCTCCTGCAGAGAGCTCCTCATCCTCCTTGACTTTAATCTAAGCAGTTTGAAAGTACCTCTGCACTGAAGTGAGAAGTAAACTGAAGAAATATGCAAGACAGACACAGCAGAGGGAAAAAGGGAAAGGTAAATAAAAATTGCATCAGTACAGGCCGGAGATGAACAAGCTAGTGACAGCTCTGCAGAAAAAGACCTAGGGATTGCAGGAGACAGCAAACTCACCACGTGTCAGCAGCACAGCATTGTGGCAAAGAATTAACAGGATCCTAACCAGATGATTGAGCGAAGTTAGAGTTTTCCTTAACTTGACCATGGTGAAGCCACACCTAGAACACTGTGTCTGGTTTTTGGACAACCCATGCCAGAGTAAAGCTGGCAAGACCAGCTAAGAACCCTTGAGATGCTTAGACTAGAGTGACACTAAGGGAACCTAAGCATCTTTTTTTAAATCTAGAGAAGACCAAAAGGGAACCTAACTGCAGTCTTTCACTAATCACGGGGGAGTCACAGAGGAACTATTAGAGCTAAAGAGAACCTATTAAAGTACACTCTAATTGGATAAAAGGCAACTACCTTTTGCACTTAAGGCAAACATTCTTCCCTCTAAGAGAGATGCAGCATTGCAACAGGCTGCCTAGGTAGGTTGTGAAATATGAGTGTACTTGAATACACTTGCAAGTCAAAATACCCTGTTGCAATCCAAGCTAACTCTGATGCTAGCCTTTTTAGGAGGGTGTTGGATTAAATACCTCCAGACATGCCTTCAACTATGAATTTTCTGTCATTCCAATTTATAGCTAAATGCTGTCAGTCAGACAATTCTAACCTCACACTCAAAAGCCAATAATGTTGCTCAAGCCATCTTGTAGTAGAAAGAGGCTCCACTTACCTCTAACTGAAAAAAGTTATGGACCAGCACCACAACAGCCAGCACTGCCATGAGCAGGCAGAAGAGCTGCAGTCTGAACGAGTCACGCCACATGGTCCATTCGTGCCTTTCCCTCCCATGTTACACATTGCCATGGCTTCCATTCGCCACAAACATAATGTCATTTCCTCTCAGCAGAGCACAAGAGAATTCAGCTGACTTCCACTTCATTCCTGCAAGTGTATTTACAAAAACTGTATTAAGTCTCAAAATATTACTAGAATTAAAGTCAAGTTTTGCACTGAAAGCTTACAAATGGTGGGGCAATAACTAGTACAATAGAACAGTCAACACAGATTATTTTTTGGAGCTAATCTGAACAGTATTATCTATCATGTTACATAATTCTCTTGGATCTGCCAAAGCAAACCCTTATCAGAAAGCTGGTCTCACCTGTAGTGGATACCAAAAAAAAAAGGCAAAAGAAGAGTGCAAGATTTCATTCTGGCAAACAAAAAGACCAAAACAAATAACCATCACCCTATTTATCTGTTAGGCCACACCACCACTGTCCAGACATTACCAGACTGAAACAGAAATTCGTGGGTTTGGACATCTGCCATTAACTTTTATAGCAGAAACTTGCAGGTTTAGACATCTCTCATTTACATGTTTACACATTCTATTAAGATGTTATTAAACACTAGTGTCTGAAACAAATTTGAATAAGCAAGGTAAAAGTTATTTCCTCCAGTTTTCTGCTTGGGAAGAAGGGAAAAATAAATCAACTGTAGCATTAAAGAGGAGATACCTAAGAGTCGAGAGCACTAAAATTTAACTTCAAGCATCATCTATAACATTACATTACACCTTCCCTGTTTTGCTTTTTTATAATTCCTTTTATTTCAGGTACTCATATGCAGCTCTAGGAAATAAAAAAATAAACTTCTGGAAAGAATACAATGTGTTGGGATTCAATGTTTCTGGTTCTTTAAATCTAGTAACAGTACTGTCTTTCATAAACTTTAACTTTCATACAATATCATTCCTTTAAGGTTGCTTGATGACTGATCTACTATAAAATCACAGACTTAACAGCCACTGATAAAGTTCCCAATGCTTGTTCAGAATGACTCTTAAACCTTCCTTTCTTTCTGAGAAGGACAATTTTGATGCAGACTTTTTTGCAAGCAAAAAGGGCACCGTTCTTGCAGAAGCTCTAAACTTGGAAACAGAAAACAGATGGCAAGGAGAGGCACTCAAAAGACACCAATCTCTCCAAACCCAATATCCTCAAAGCAGCATTACTCATACAACCATGCACCAAGAGCAACAACATAATCAAATGATTACATAAACTTTGTATAACTTTCTATAATTAGTATAACTGAGAATTTATACAATTAAGATAATATAATACATAGTACCTATACTTTTAAGACCATATGAAAAATGCTGTGTAAATTTAAATGAAAAAATGATTTATTAAATATCAAGATTAAAAAATGAATACAGACTAGAAAACTGAAATACATTACTGGTATAACCAGGACAGCCTCAAAATAGACCACACATCAAATTGCTTTACAAGGATTATAGGGATTATAACTTCAAATGCTTTGCTGAGAATTAGAGAGATTGTATTTCTGACCAAGAACTAGCATTGAAAGAACAAGACATCCATTAAAGTGAAAGTATCAAAACACCACAGAAACATAGCTTTGTTGGAACAGCTCTGCACTAATATGAAATTTGCATAAAACAGCAGCTTGGGTCATAAATTGGTACTAAATATACTTAGAGTACATGAAAATGCTAATTTAAGGACATACATGTCCATTTGAGGAAGAAAAACAAATACATTAGACAAAACCAGAATTTTCAATTCTATTACTGAGAATTCTTTCCACATCACTGAAAAGCACAAAACATTGAAAATGTAACACTATTTCATACGCCTAAAGTTTCAGATGTAATTTCAGATGCCTAAAAATACCACAAACGCTGTTCCATATATTTTTATTCAAAGTTTTCTGTATTCTGTAGAAATGAAATATGCCCTAAATATTTTAGGGCATATTTCATATGCCCTAAAATATTTAAATGTATAGGTTTAGAGCTTTCTTTATGCTAAAGGCTTACAATACTGCCAGCTTCATCACAACTGGTGAACAATTGATCCCATTCATTTTTTGTATAAGGGAAGCCCATAAGTACACCAAAAAGCCTTAGGACTTACCCTACTCCTGAAATGTCCTCTGAAGCCATCCACACAAAAGGCCAGATAACCTTGGAAAAAATACATTAAAAAATAAATATATCTGTAGAAATACGCACAAGTATTTCTCAATAAAATTTATACATTGGTGGTTTGCTTACAGTGGCACAAAATAAAATGGCAGTTACAACTTTTTACCTGTAAAATCACTTCTGTTTCTACAATGACTCAAGGATTTTGTTGAAGTATTTTATTCTTTTAAACTTCAGTGCTGTGCACTTGAATTTTCTGCTATTTATTGCTAAGTATTACTTCGCTCAGCTTTGTTCCATGTTACCACAAGCCCCATTTTACCCAATGTTAAAAACAAAAAGGGATTTAATGACAATTTTATGAATACGTCACTAAATTATGCCGCATGCTCCATCACAGGATTGTTGCTTTGGGTTTTTTTACAAGTTGTCAATTACTGTCAGCTCTCTATCCCCACAGCTCTCTAAGCCAGCAGCGCTACAAAGGCAGGTATGAGTGCAACCTCTCCAAATTCTGTCACGCAAATCTCCAAGGCACAGAGGAGCCGCTGCCTCTGGCGATGCCCAAACCATGTCACTGGGGCACAGGGGCTTGATGTTCGCGTGGCTGCCAGCACGGAAAAACAGATTTGCTGCTGTTTTTCGCAGATTCCGCCCTGGTCCCCAGGGCGCGGGGAGCCGCCAGCCACCAGCCCGCTGATTTTCCGGGGACAGCGCCGCAGCCCCCGCGGCGCTCCGGCCGCGGAACACGGGACCGGGCACCCACGAGCCAGGGACGGGGGCAGCGAGCAGGAAGCACCGCTGCCGGCAGTGCGAACCGCACAGCTCTGTTTTGTTGCTTCAAAGGTACTTTTTAGGATGCCCCGGGATGGGCATCCCCGGGGAGCGGCACAAGGCAGCCCCTGGACCGGCAGGAAGCACCTTCAGCCGCCGCCTCGCTGCAGCCCGAGCGGCGCGGGCAGCGCGGCCCTGCGGGCGGGCGGACCCGGCCGCGACGACGGGGGACCCGAGCAGGGCATCCGCCAAACCCGGGACCCCGACCCCCCCGCCCCGGGCCTCGCCCGGCGGCCCCGAGCCCACCGCCGCTCCGGCTGCCCCGCCAGGTTTTCCTTCCCCCCCGCTCCCCAGACGAGCCGCGCCAGGCCGCACCGCCCGCGCCCCCTCACCGCAGCCCCCGGCGCTCCCCCGGGCCAGGCGGCGGCCTCGCCCCCGGCCCGGAGGCGCTCGCTGTAAAAGCCCGGCTCCCGCCGCCCCTCCCTCCTGCCCGCCCCTCACACAGCAGCAGCGGCCGCCGCGCCTCCTCCCGCCCCGCCCCGCCCCGATACCGGCTCTGTCCCCGCCGTAGCTGCCGCAGCCTCTGTGCCGAGAAGGGGCAATGAAAAGGGAAACAGACGCAAAACCCAACAAAAACAACACCACCGTCCCTGTAATTTTTGAGCCACCGCAGGTGAAGCCTAAGAAAGCAGGATGTGGGGAGGGTGGCGCGGAGCCAAGCACTATGGCCTGGGTGGCATCACCATGGTCCCCGGCCGCCACCCCAGCCGAGGGAGGAGGCTCTGACACGAAGCAGTAGAGCAGGTCAGACGCTGCCGAGCCTGAAGGCGAACGCAGCAGGAAGCAGCAGAGGCGGCGTTTTGGACAGAGAGAAGGTTGTGGAAGGAGAGTCTGGACCTCTCAGCAGCTGCAGGGGCTGAGCGGGGAATACAGGCACGGCCCAGCGCAGCAGAACTGGACAAACGCAGCTGCACTGAGGACAGGACTTCAACATGCTTTACGAGGACACGCACACAGTCAGTGTTGAGCTTTGCACCCTGCACCAGAGCCGGGTGGCACTTTCAATCTGCAGCACATCTCACATCTGCACTTAGTTCTGTAAACACTTGTAAACACTGCATAAGTTTGGGAATGCCAAAACACTCACCTGCCAGAAAGTTCTTTGTATGAATACAGCTCAAGAGCTTGAGCTTATTTTTCCTAAGGAATATGTGGGTTGCTTAAAACCAGAAACAAGAGAGAGCAGCTGAAATATTCTTGTGAACACAGTATTTTAGCCATTAGAAATTGCCTACTTCTGTCTTCTGCCCCAGCCATAGCTATTTTGAAGAAGTGATCTTACCTCTATTTTTCTCCTTTCTGCCTCTTACAACAGTGGTTATCTGGTAGAGATAGAAAGCAAAATTTCAACAGGCACCAGCTTTTATTTCTATTATACACTGTAGGTCAAGAATTGAAAGACATCTATCTGGCTGTACAAGCAGAACACATTTAAAAGACAGTATTTTGAAAGATTATTGGTACTGATTTTTCCCCCTCTCAGTATACAAAGCCTATCAGTTCTATAGCAGTCTCATTTGTCTTCACTCTTCCTTCATGAGCCATGCAGTGCATCAAATTCCCCGACAAACTCTGCAGCTCAAAGTGCAACCTAAGGCAAAACTTGTGTGCCAAATTCCAAGCATTATTCCATCTCCTAATATAGCTGGAGTGATGTTGGGGTGAAGGTATGGAAGCTGACAACAGTGAGAAAACCTGTCACTTCAAGGAAATAGGTACTGCTATGCTATCTTTTGACACATTTTACATTTCACCTCCCCTCAGAGATGGGAAGTGATCCCCACACCACTTCTCTCCATAAATTCTTCAGTTATCCTTATAGTTAGTCTTGATGAAGGCCTAATAATGAACTAAATATGCCTTTCTAATCTCTAACACGGTAAGCACTTTTGCACAGGGGCCAGAAACCAATTACTCTGTGTTTGCCCCCCTACTCTACCAAAAGTCCCATGTAAAAAGCTGTTTGGATTATTTGACAGTCAGTGGCATTAGTGAGGTCTGTTCCACCTCATCACCCTGCAACATCTAAATGTCACTAGTGCCAAAAGTAGAACAGCCTAAGCAGCTGTTGCTCACCTTACATCCCTCCTTGTTTATCACACCAGGAGCACTTGCCAGTTATTTTGATTTGAGTACAGAAAGCTGGATAATGAAAAATAATAAGTCTTTCCTTATTTTTTTCCAGAATAATATGCAGTAAGATGAAGTTATACTGGGCCCTTGGCCCCATTGTCCTTCTCTCTCTTATCTACAAAAAATAATGAATAAAACACAGTGGTTTTGATAATATATATGGGACTACTGAACCAATTCTTGATTATAGGCAAGTGTTGAGGATTTGCTCCCTGAGGCAAACTAAAACATGCTTTTGTGATGAAGAACGGTGAGATTTAACAAACAGTGCATGGGACAGTCTGCAAAGAGCACAACCCACACTGTTCCCTTTCTGTAGACACATTTGAACTGTCTCCTTTTGCTACATTACCCTTCTATCACTTCTCTAGTCTTTTTTCCCTTCCACAATCATCTGGGTCTTGTACTTCTGCAGTCCTTAGAACAGCAAGTTTCACTCTCATCTTGCACATAAGTTCAGCATGGCCCCTGGTTTCAGGCATAATAACAATAAGGTCTATTTAACTGTTAGAAAAACTCTTTTGCTGATCTGGTGCCATCCAGATGGTTTTCACATCATCTAATGCTTTAAAGGGATAATGCTTTTGTTAGAAGAATCATCTTACAGCTTCCTCAAGTCCTTTTCCAAAAGGTTACAGAGAAGCTTTCCTATAGGCATCAGCCTTTCCATGAACCTGCCTCAAGCAGCTGTGCTGCATTCCCACTTCAGGGACAGGCAGGAAGGAACATAGGTTTCCATTTCTTCCAGATGGTTCTGCTCACCTTTGGGACTAAGAGAAACTCTTCCTGGTCTTCCTTTCTACTTCTCCACCAGACAATGGGCATGGCCACGCCATCTCAGCCATGGGCTGCCCAGAATAGATCCTGCCAGTGTAACACTGACACTGCTACACCAAAGGAAGACAGCATCAGGCAGCTAGGAACATGAGAAAGCAGGGAGACAAAGGCAGCTTATCTACTAGTCCTACTAGTAAAATAATACCTAGTTTGTGTGCTTAAAAATTTCCATATCTGTGAGTAAAGCCAAAGAATCAGAGACCAACAGGAAAACCAATCTGCTGTAAAGCTACTGAGCCTGGGAATGAGCAAGCTGCAATGAGGGGAGGACAAGTACATCTCTGTCCTGGAGAGCTCAACAGTACAAGACAGCTGGAGAGCCAGTCTGGGCTCCAATACCACATGCATGTGCCCAAAACTTCAGGTTGAAGGGGCTGTAGGAACTACTGATGGAAAGAAGAAAAGTGAATCCTGGTTGTAGAACTTCTCAGCGTCTCCTGTTTCTCCCCAGGTCACACAGACTCTAAGGCATAAGCAGTAGTAAGCTGCTCAGCACATCTTCCATGTTCTTCCCACACCAGAAAACATGCTGCTAATGCTCAAGGGACTGGATAACTTCAGCTGGTGTAACAATGGATAGGAAGAGATTTCCCAAAGGCTGCTGCTTGAATGCAGTTTAGCACAATGCTAAGCAAACATCCCTGACTGCTAGACTGCTGCTCCCCACAGCACTACATTGTTGGAGAATTGTTTAGGCTTTTCTAATGGTTTATGGCTTTCAGTCCAACACATGAACACTTTAAACATGATGTGCCAGATTTTACATTTTCCAGAGCATTCTTTATGATCACGGGCTTCTCAATTTTCACAGTTTAAAGCATCTTAGAAGTCAGAGGCAACTTGTTTGATATTCCTTCCCTAGGTGAACATCATCTGGCACATATCAGAAGGAGCAGCTATACTGGTTGTGGATGGAATAGAGGTAATTTTCTTCACAGTGGCTGTGGTAGGTCTGTGTTTGATTTGTGCTGGAAACAGTGTGATAGCATAGGGCTGTTTTAGCTACTGCTGAGCAGTGCTTGCAGAGCCAAGTGCTTTCCTGCTTCTCACACCACCCCACCACCAAGTGGGCTGGGCTTCACAATAAATCCTAGCATAAGTAAGGACTTTCAGCCCATAAAATTAACTATTTCCATTTGATCAAAATGGACCCATCCACTAGCCATCCCTTTATTTTCCAAATCTAGCCAAAGATGTTAAGATCTGATGTTATTACAAATACGAATAAAAGCCCAGGTCAAGAGTGAACCCAAAATGCTATGGTTACTATCCCTACAACACACAGCACTTAAAACTTAGTAGTACAGCTGTAAGGCCTTTAAAAGAAAAGGGCACTGCTCTTCTTTTCAGACCTGAAGCGGAGTTACTTTAGCTATGCCTACTCCTGATTTTTAAATAGAGTCCTAGAATGAGGTGGAAGGGAGCTTAAAGATCACCTAGTTCCAACTCCCTTACCATGGG